GCGCACACACCTGATGGTAAAAACATTTTTTAAAGAAAAGCATGTAAGATTCCTTACCAGTTATGGAGGTAGCATCGCAGAAAACTTGGCCCAAAGTGTTTTTTCCCACCCGCCTGATGTGTTCCCTCAGCATTCTGCTCACCCAAAGGAGCACCTAGAGCCTACAGGGGCCGTTTTTTCCCACCTGCCTGATTTGTTCACTCAGCATTCTGCCCACCCAAAGGAGCACCTAGAGCCTACAGGGGCTGGTACTCAGGTGAGCAGGCTCTCCCCAGGTGGAGGTAGGCCTGGTGCCACCAGTGATCGCAGTAGGGCTTGTAATCGCTGTGGCAGACAAAGGCGTTTACAGGAAACCAACCTAGGATCAAATATGATCGAGAAGTACTGGGCTAGATGAAGCGATGCGAATTTCTGTCCCTCAGGACTGTAGAACATTTCAAATGCCACATGTACTGTGAGCCCCCAGAGACGGCATCTGGTGTGAAGTATTTTCCAGCTTTGTTGCCAAAAGTTAGAGATGACAACCGGGATAAGAAATTCCTAACCATAACTGTTGCTAAGCTGCCTGCAGGAACCTTGAAGAGACCATGAACTCTGAAACATACCTTTTGCCTTTTAGGGAAGAGACAGAGCTAACCAGGGCTACATGGAGCTGTCTCAGGGTTTGGTCATCTATATTTCCAGCCTGTTCACCCAGCGCCATCCCTTCCCCCACACAGGAGCTTTCCTCAGACTTGGGGGCTTCTCTGCTTCCCCGCTTCTGGCTTTCTCGCCCGTTCGTCACCCTCTGCCCTGTTGCTGAAATGCCGTCCTGATACACTGCAGCTCTCCAATGCCGGCATTTTCAGAGTAAAAGGGAAGAGGGAAACCTGCTGTCTTCTTTCCTGTTTGCTCTCGCTCCTCCCTACCTGCTCCCAAGGTAACCTGGGTTGGCTAACTTTTATCTTCGTTTCCCACATGCAGTGAGACTAATCCTGGGACAGAAGTTCTCTTCTGATGTCTGCGGGCCCCCAGGTTCTGGGAAACAGAATTCAGGGAGCTCGGGCTCAGAGGAAAAAAACATCTATTTATTTTCACTAATACCTGACTGAAGATTGAATTCCCCTGTACCTTGACTGGGCAACCAATAGAAATTGCAAACATTTTCAGATTATGTGAAAATTGTTGTAGCTATCTTAAACTGTCATTTACAGTCATTACTACTTTAAAATTATAGGTATTATTAGGTCAGCTGCTAGATCACAATAAAATGCACAGCATGTAGTCATATCACAACATGTGATGAAAATATTTTCATAATTGTGTTTCAAAGTACTTAGGTTTCTGGGGCCAACAGGTGGTATAGTGGTGAAGGCTCTGGACTCGCACATGGCCTACTGCAGCTCGAGTGCCAGACCCAGTGGCTTGAAACACACCAGGCACATGTGCACGTGTACCCAAAATCATAAGAGAATGTGGGAGAAGGGATGTGGCATGGTCATTCCCCAGGGGATGATTTCTCACTTTCCCTCTCACCTTCTCTCTCTGTTTCTCTGCTAACACGCACACTCTATGGCAGAAACCTAAAAATAAAATAAAATAAAATATAATAAAATAAAATAAAATAGTTTTTTTATAATCCTTTTATATCTTATTTGTTTTTTAAAAAATTGCTCTAAGAAAGTTTATAGGCTTCATCAGACTATCAAAAGAGGTCCCCAGCAAAAGACAGAATTAAGGAGCCTGGTAGAGGTGGATACACACAGGGTCTCTGGGGATAAAAGACAAGTCGGAGCCCATGCCAGCTTCTTCCTTTCCATCTTTTCCAAACATTAGTCACCTCACTCTGTCTACTCCAGGCCTCTACAGTGTCCTTGGCTATATGTATAACTCCTCCTCCTCGTTCACTCCCTTATCATCTGCCCCAGGTACAAGTTGGTATTTGGATTCATTCATTCATGAAGTATTCTGCAGGGACCAGTTAAGAGTATTATTCTAGAAGCTGTAAACAGCACTGAACAAAACAGCAATACTCCTTGCCCTCACAGCGTGACATTCTGTGGAGAAGACAGACCATGGCGGGATAAACACGTGAGAACATAGTATGCCTAATGATCGTGAGTGCTCTGAGGGGAAATAAGGAAGGAAGATGGGCCCTCCCAGGAAAGAGAGGGATTTGCAGTTTTTAAACAGAATGGCCAGGGAAGGCTGCCCTAGAAAGGTCACATTGGATATAGACTTCACGGAGGGAAAGGCGAGAGTCACGTAGCAACACAGGTGAAAGGAACAGCAAGTGCCGAAGCTAGAGGGTGCTGGGTACCGGAGAAGCCAGCGGGCTGCGGCTGGGGTGGAGGTGCGGTCAGGAGGTAAGGGATGGGGCAGAGAACACCGGGAGGTGAGGGCAGGGAGGGAGGGATGGAGGGGAGGCCAAGCAGAGCATCACAAGGCAGAGAACGTTCGGGCTTGGGTTTTCACTCTGAGTCAGCTCTGGCCACTTCCAAGCTTCAGCCGAAGGCCGGAGTGATGGGGCCTGTTGTAACAGTAGATGGATCAAGGCAAGAACAGAGCAGGAAGGATGAATATTTAACCACGCCAGTATCTGAAACGGGGGGCTCGGGTGGCCAGGCCGCAAATTTTCCAAATTTTTCTGCTCTGCTTTCCTTTTCATTATAAGTTCTGTTTTTAAATAGGTTCTTTCTGTTCATATCTTTCTATATGCAGTTAACAATAATCACACAGTTCCTTACATATTTTGCTTTGGATTTTCATTCGCCAGGTCTTCATCACTCTTAAATTCAACATTCAAAAACAGTGTTAGGACAGGAACACTTTGAGCCAAATCCTTTGCTATAGAGTAACACAAATGACCTTTTCTGTAACTTCCAATAAGGTATTCCTCATTTTTCTCTGAAACCTCCTGAGAGCAGCCTTCACTGTTCATCTTTCTGTCAGGATTCTGGTCACCACCCTTTAACCAACCTCTTAAAAAGTTCCGGTTCATTTCTAAAATGTTTTCTTGAGTTTCCACCAGAACCTAGCTTTTTCCTTGTCTTCTCCAAATGTCTTCCCATTACCCAGTTCCAAAGCCATTTATGCATTTTCAGAAATCTGTAGCAGTACAACCCTGCCACATCACACCCTCCAATTTCTGTCTTAGTCCGTCTTTGCATTGCTATTGCTAACAGAAATACCTGAGACTGGGTGAGTTTATAAAGAAAATAGGAGTTTATTTGCAAAACTCATGAACCTGGTGGCTAGACAGTCCAAAGACAACACAGAATGAAGTCAGGCTGAACTTGTAGCAGAGCGTGGTCTGCGTTCATACTGCCTTCTCTCTGCCTCGTTTCATTTTGTGTAACTAGAGCTCAGTCGTGGAGGTGCTGCCCTAAGCAGTCACTAATCTCTCTTCCCAATGGCTGTACCTTTCAACACTGTAATCAGATTGAGTTTTTACTGTATTTAAAATCCCATTGCAATGCTTGAAGTGAATTCTGAGTGGTATAGTCAAACTATACCCCAGAATAGTTTTATAGTTCATCAATTGCACTAGGTAAAAAAAAATCGCTGTTAGTGTGAGGTTTTGGCCATTCTCATTGTATGACCTTTGAGAAAGAAAAAGAACTTCTGATGGGAATCACCATCTTTAAAATTAGCAAACTTTTTATTACCTGTTAATGATGACGTGTATAGTATTCTCAACTGGACTGGTCTGAGAAGTAATTCGTGTTGGCTCTAGTCTTTACAAGCAAAATGATAAATAGTGATTGAGTGTTTAAAAAAATAATCGGAATAATAATAATAATCTGGAAAAATAAGAATGAAAAACTATTGGATGATGATGATGGGGATTTTAATCTCTTTATATTGACTGATATGCATGGCATTCCTTCTGGAAAAAGAACTGTAATACACTGTAAAGTTAAATGTGTATATAAACAAGTCAATGTAAAATAAATAATAATGATAATAAATAAATTTTAAAAAATAGCAAACTTGCTCAAGGAACTCACATATCAAATTTGGGAGTTTTGGTAAGTACAGGGTTCAAAATTTAATAAAACCCAAGTCAATAAATACTCATTAAGATCTAACTATAGTCAAGGCATTGCTATTGGGTCGTCAGAAAAGTCATGAATCATTTTTACAAAGAAAAATACATTATGACTTTTCTAATGACCCAATAGTTTCTACATGCAATTTATTGTGAAAAAGACAACAAGAAGTTTACAGACAATGGCAAAATAAACCTGAGAGTAAGATAAGTGATACTAAAGGAATGGCGAAAAGCGGGAATGGGATTTTCAAAGAAAGCAGTATCTACATCTCCTTCAAGCACGGGCAGGGTTCCATGAGAATGCAGCATGTGGAAGGAGGTGAACACTGAAGAGGGGGTAGGATTTTCTGTAAGCCCAGATTGGGCTTTACACTTTCATGAGGGATAATGCCACCTGCGCACAGAGGCGGCAAGGCTGAGTAAGTTGATGCGAACACTGGATGGAGTATAATGGTAGGCAGTAGGTCAGAGAGACACTAGGATTGTAAGGAGTGCCAGTCTAGGAACTTTCGCTATTTAGCGAAAGTGGAAGGCCACTGAAGGCCACTGACCGTGTATTCCTCCATATGGTCAGAGGGAGAGTAGGGGTTGTGTGGGTTGGATTGGGAGAAAGATGAGGAGGAGGGTGTAGAAGCATTACGGCTGCTCGAGAAGCAATGCTTCTGATCCAGCTGCAGGTATTAGAGTATCACTGTGCAATACCTGAGCCATATGGGAAGGCCCAGGGTTCAGATCCTTGGTCAACCTGAACATGGCAGGCATACACATGGGTGTGTCTGTGATCCTGGCTGGCTTCCAAGCTCAGGGGAGAATCACCTCTTGTGAGTATTTTCCTCTCTCTAAGTAAGGTAGGTTTTATGAATGAAACAATGCTTTAGAAAGATTGCAAAGAAGAAAAAGTTTGCAGTGCTTTTTTAACCTCATAAACCTGTGTTATTTTCTCTTAAACCTCCTTGAGTCACTATATGCAATAAATGAACAATGCATGGAAAACACTTGGCATAATGCACAAAACCTATTGGGTTATTGGGAGAATCATGACTTTGTTAAATGTGTTTCTATGCAAAAGTGTGTCATGACTTTCCAGACAACCCTTAGTACATTCTGAGTGGTGTTGCCTCCTGTGGTTGACGACGACGATAATGCCCTCACGAATGTGGCCCCTGCTGTACTCACCACATGCTCTGACCTCCTGCACCTTCCTTTGCAAACACCTCATCTCCATCTACTTTATTTTTAGGAGGGATTTTTGCTACAGGGCATGTGCACTTGCCAGAGAGACTGACAAAACAGAAAGAGAGAAAGTGAGCAATCACTGCCCCAGGGGAATGGCCATGCCTCAATCCTTTCTCCTCTCTGAATTTTGGGCACACACACAAGCGCAGCATGGATCTCAAGCCTGCTGGCCTCAGCTTTAAGCACTTTTAAGTATTACTATTTTCTTGTCACATTTTGTATAATCAAAACAAAGTCAATGAAAAATCACATTTATGTTTCATAATTACCTAGATAGGCAATTACCTAGATAAATTAATTATTTCAGAGAGACTTAACAAAAAGGAAAATCAGAAGAAAATCTTTGTATAAAGTTGACAAAAACTGAGAAAATTACATACATGTTATTTTTTAAAACTTTATTGAGATATAGTTCACATACCAATATGATTTCACTCATCTAAAAATATATGATTCAATGACTTGTAGTATATTTATATGTGTGTGTGTGTGTGTAACCATTCTCATGGTTAGTCTTAGAATATTCTCATTGAGGACCAGCAGATGGCATAAT